TCACCGCATGCTCTAGGGCCCTCGGAGACCTCCTCGGAATGTCCTCTAGTGCCTTCGGAGCTCTTCACCGAATGCATATCGAGCCCTCGGAGACCTTCTCCGACGGCCCTGGACCTCCTCCGACGGTCCTCTAGGGCCCTCGGATATCTCCACCGACGGCCCTGTGACCCTCGGAGGCCTGGTCCGACGGCCTCCGAGGGCCCTCGGAGCTCTTCGCCGAATGCCTTAGGACCCTCGGAGACCTCCTCCGATATCCCTCTAGGGCCCTCGGAGCTCTTCACCGAAGGACCTGGAGCCCATCGGAGACCTTCTCCGAAGGCCCCCTGGGGCCTTTGGAGGTCCTCAAGGGCTTTCGGAGATCGTCGCCCAAGACCCTAGGTCCTTCGGAGACCTTCTCCGAAGCCCTTAGGTCCTTCGGAGACCTTCTCCGAAGGCTCTAGGGCCCTCGGAGACCTTCTCCGAGGACCCTAGATGGCCTTCGGAGCTCTTCACCGAAGGCCCTGGGGCCCTCGGAGACCGTCTCCGAAGGCCCCCCCTGGGGCCTTCGGAGCTCTTCACCGAAGCCCCTAGGTCCTTCGGAAACCTTCTCCGAGGACCCTCGATGGCCTTCGGAGCTCTTCACCGAATGCCAGAGGGCCGTCGGAGACCTTCTCCGAAGGCCCCCTGGGGCCTTCGGAGCTCTTCACCGACACCCCTAGGTCCCTCGGAGACCTTCTCCGAAGCCCCCCCTGGGGCCTTCGGAGATCTTCACCCGAGCCCCTAGGTCCTTCGGAGACCTTCTCCGAAGGCCCCCTGGGGCCTTCGGAGATCCTCACCGAGGCCCCTCGGTCCTTCGGAGACCTTCTCCGAGGACCCTTCTCCGAAGGCCCCCTGGGGCCTTCGGAGCTCTTCACCGAAGCCCCTAGGGCCTTCGGAGACCTTCTCCGAGGACCCTAGATGGCCTTCGGGGCTCTTCACCGAAGACCATAGGGCCGTCGGGGACCTGCTCCGAAGGCCCTCCTGGGGCCTTCGGAGACCGTCACCGAAGCCCCTAGGTCCTTCGGAGACCTTCTCCGACGACCTTCGATGGCCTTCGGAGCTCTTCACCGACGGCGGCCAGAACCCCAGATGCCATCGGAGGAAACCCAGATGATACATTTGGTAAGCTGCATTGCAGCTCAACTTGTTTAAGACGTGAAGTGTGAGTTCCAGGGCGCCCATGCTCATTGCTTCCGTAGCACGTTTGTGCCAAGCTGTCCGATGCGTTTCAGTATGCAGTTGCGTGTGTTCATTGCACTAGTTCACACCGTTTTAAAGATTATGGCCGTGCGTCTTGATCGCCGTGGAACTCCTCAGCCATGCTCGCGCTGCCACGACCTTCACACGGCGAACAGATGGGCTGAACATAATATGGCGCGGGCAATATCATTTGTGAACGCGAGGAATTCGCAAACTATTGGCCGGGAGATAACTCTTGCAGATATCCAGCGTCAGTGCGGCCTTCTGACGTTGAGCGCGTGCTTCTCTGGCACTGGCGGCGCAGAGATCGCGGCCCGGGCGAGCGTCAACTGTCTCCAGCACTTTCTGGATAACCGAGAGGGGCAGTTCACCGCGTTATGGGCGTGCGACGACAGCAACGAGTGCAGGATTGAGTTGCAGATGCTCGACCACCCCCCGGCGTGCGTCTTCATGGACATCTGCGACTGCATCAGCGACCCGATCAGGGATAGGGTCGAGGCGAGGGCAGCGACGATGCGGTATGAGGACTTTCAGCAGATCATCAAGGCTAAGGGCTTTGCCAAGAACAGCATGGGCGTCGGATGCTGCGTGGTTCATCCCACTCGCTCGTGCGCCACGCGGAAGGCTAAAGTGCACGCTGCTGGGACAGAGTGCGTCGTCTGGAGCAGCCAGGGGTCTCGCGACGGCATGTCGGGCAGAAAGAATCTGGCGTGGGGCTCCTGGGTTGGCCATCGCAGGCGCATGCAGGAACCGATCATATACCACGAGAATGTGCGGCAATTTCCACTCGCCCTTTTGGACGAAAGATCCCGGAGACTTATACATTGTCGCTCCACAGATGAGCATGGTTGTCTGCCCGAGCCGCTACAGGCAGGCTGATGAGAGGTCTCGCCGATTGACTTTGCTGATCCACAAGGAATTCATCGTGGTGGACATTCGCGAGGCGGTGATCATGGGAAGCTCTTGGCAGGACTGCTGCGAGTACGCCGAGAGGACGTGCAGTTCCCATTTGAGGTGCTACCTCGAGAACGACGGCGCTAGCGCCTCGGAAATCCAGGACGAGCTCAACTGGGCGAAGAGTCGCCTCTCCGTTGTCAGCGAGGCCGGCACCACCGAGGGCAGGGAGCTCCGTGCAGGTTTGACGGAGTTCGAGGCCGCACTCAGCAATTGGGAGATCAGGAACCTCGTGCACTATCAGACCATGGAGCCCAATGGCATGTACACCCTGGGGCAGGACGCCAGAAAGCATGCGCACTATACCAGGAACAAGTCCACGATGCACACGATCGTACGGCATCCAGATCTGCACTTCTCCAACATTCACAAGCGGTGGTTGACCCCTTCGGAGCTGCTCACGATCCACAACTACCCGATGACGCCAGACGTGACCCAGTTCGGACTGCGGTCGTCATTCCAGGCCAGTCGAGACTCGATGTGCTTTACACCACGATCCAGGACGCAGATGCTGAGCCAAATTGACAACGGGATGGCGCTGTGCACGGAGAACTTAGGCTTCGCATATATTCTGTGCGTCTTAGCGGCCTGCTCTCCGCCCGCTGACGAGGCGCTCGGCGGCTGGGTCCGGGAGGGATCGATGGGCGCGGCGATCTCCTTCGCCGCTTCGCCCCGGGCTGTGCAGACCGAGGGCGGCGGCGACGGCAAGTGGAGACGCGTGCTGAGCAAGCGCCCAAGCTCTGTCTCGGATGGCGCGAGTGACGCGTCTAAGGACACTGCCCGCAACATTCGCAGGCTGCTTCGCGAGTGATTTTTCAGCCATGGCCAGACAGACGCGCATTGCGCGCACTTACATATTGCGATGCACGCCCACGTGCTCTGCGCTGCGCTGAAGCCAGGGCGCCGCCGCGCCATGCAGGGGCAAACGCACGCACACACACACACACATTGCATCGCGATTGCATCGGGGCGGGGAGGGGGGGGAGGAGGAGGAGAAGGAGGAGGAGGAGGAGGAGGGTGGAGGAGGCAGGAGGAGGCAGGGGGGGGAGGGGGAGGCAGGAGGAGGAGGCGGAGGAAGGAGGAGGATGGGGTTAGGATCTCACATGGGAATATGATGAGAAAGAGCAAGGGAGGAGATGGGGGTGGAGGTGGGGTGGGAGAAGCAGGAGTTGGAGGAGGAACATGAGCAGGAGGAGGAGGGGGGCATCGCAGTCAGTCCGCAAGGATGGACCCAGGGCGCCCTTGCATCCTTACCCCTACGGCCCATCCTTGGCCACTTTCGCTGGCCGCGCCCCTCTCGGGAAGCTTCGATGTTGCCTTCCAAGGCCCTTGCGTCCTTATCTATGTGGGTTGGCTGCGCCCCTCGCACCCCCCTCTGTCGCGTTCTGCTTGCGCCGGAGGCGACTCCGAGCAGTGGAAGATCGAGCTGGAGCAGAAGTACGGCAAGGAGGCCATCTTCAATTTTTTCAGGCCGCTCAAACCCCACGAGACCGTTGAGGAACGCCCTCGTCCTCCTCTTCTTCCTCCCCTTCATCCTCTAAGATTCCCTTCTTTGTCCGCCTCGTCTTCCGCGTCTTTTCAATCTTACTCAGTTTCCTCATCTGTTCCCCCTCCTCCTCTAATCTCCTCCTGACTCTTTGTCTTCCTCCTCGTCCTCCGCGTCCTCTCAATATTCGCCGGCGTCCTCATCCCCATCCGCATTCAACTGTTCCTCCTCCTCCTCATCCTCCTCCGCCAACCTTTCCCTCTTAGTTCTCCTCGTCCTCCGCGCTATCTTTCTCTCTTCAGGTCGAACAAGGAGTTGATCCTTCTCCTCTCCTCGCCTCGGAGGCACCCCTCGGGTTCCCCGGGGCCGCTGGTCGCTCCCGTTTGGGGGGGGGGGGGGGGGGGGGGGGGGGGGGCGTTTTTCGTGACCATTTGTCGCCGGCGGGGCCCCGGCGCCGCGTGCGTGCTGGGTGTTTGCGGCAAGTGTTTGTGTGACCTCTCTGTCCCAACTCTTTGTTGGGCCCCGTCCTGGGTGTGGTGCGCCCCCTTGGCGGTCCTCGGTGCGGGGCGCTAGCTTTCTGCAATGCTTTGGGCTCCCTGGGTTCCATCGGTCTTTTCCTCCGAGCCCGTCTTGGCAGCCTGCAGCCTGAAGTTCCTCGGAGTTCCGCTCCGTTCCGTTAATCTTCCTCGGTCGCCTCGCCTCCATTATCCTGTCATTGTTCTTCGTGACTCTTAGGGCCGCTGCCCGAAGCATCACGGCGTGAAGCGCTGGGGCCTTTTCCTGGAGCTGTACTCGTCGGGCCGCCAGGACTTGCCGTATTTCAAGACAGCCGACGGCGGCGACGAGGTGAAGTGCCTCTCCCGAAGCCGGCGCAACTCGAGGCGCCAGGAATCTGCGGTCAAGCAGTACTGTAGGAAAGTGCTTGCGTGCGGCGCCAACTGGAACGCGAGGAGTTCGGCCATCGCAATCGCGGACCGCGGGCAGGAGGAGGAGGAGGAGGAGGCGAGGGGCGAGGAGGAGTAGGAGGAGGAGGATGAGAGGAGATGGGGGGGGGGGGGGGGGGGGAGGGGCGGAGGAGGAAGAGGACGGGGCGAGGTGGAGGAGGAGGAGGGGGAGGAGGAGGAGGAGTAGAGTGGAGTAACTCGCGAGGAAGTCCCGAGCGGGAAGTTGGTTTCTGTCTTCCCTGGGGCCCTGGCGCACATCCCCACGGCGAGGGTGCGCACTCCACCCCCTGCGAGAGAAGAAGACAAAGTCTCGGGGGAGGGGGGCGCCCTCCTCCGCCCCCTCCCCCTCCTCCTCATCCGCCTCCAGCCAGGGCGCGCGCGACGCCGGCGTCTTCCAGCTCGTTGCCGGGGCCGCGCTTGTCGAAGGCGTGTACATGGCCAAGGCGATGTTTGAGTCCAATGAGTTTGTGACCGAGGCGATGAAGAGCGGGGTGGCGAACGCCGTCGTGCTGCGCCCCTGCATTCCCGGCGACGCGGCCGAGTGGGTGAAGGCGAACCATAATTCGTGCAACAGCATCGGCGGTTCGACCGCGACCTTCGTAGAGATCATGGAACAAGTGAAGGGCGCCGAAGCCAGCTGGAAGAGCAAGTGCGACGTCGAGACCATCACAGTCGACGGCTGCCCAAAGAAGGGTCCATGCACCTACGCCGAGATCTATTCGAACCACGTCCTCTCCAAATGCAAAGGCCACTTCTCTGGGTGGGGCCACTGCCGGGCGGCGAAGGGCGCAGTCGACAAGGCGACGAACCATTTTGATGTGTACGCGGTGTGGAAAGCGTTCTGCGAGAGCAACTGCAACTTCTTGTGTTCGCGCGCGACCAAGCAGGGGCTAGCAGAGATTCACAGCCACATCATGTTCATGATGGACCATTTTGTAGGTTCGATGCCAGAGTGGTTCCTGAAGGAGATTGTGCTGCACCTCCTGAAGATGGCGACGCCGATCGACCCTCGCGAGCAGGATGCGGCGACCATCAAGTACTCCAATGTCTTGCCCATCGCCGTCGTCGCCAAGACCGAGTGCATGCTTTCGGTGCTGAAACGCCGATGTGGGGGGGCACCGTCTACATGAAGGTTGCCCAGAAGAGGAAGCAGGACGTCGCCGGAGACGCCGCGGTCACGGCCGCCGAGCACGAGGGCGATCAGCCGGGCCCGGCGAAGATGCAGAAGACGGGGGGCGCTAAGAAAGGCCGTGGGAAGGGCAAGAGCAAGCCGAATGCCGCGGCCGTCCAGGCGACTGTTCAGGGGAACTTCTCGACCGCGATCGGGGGCGAGAAGTTTACGCGCGAGAAGCTGTTCCTGGACGACTTGGCGCAGGCGCTTCTGGCGCCTGTTCGGCCCCTCGACGAGAGGGGCATCCAGAGGAAGGAGATTTCGAATGTTGCATTGGATGCCTTGATATTTGCACTACGGGGAACGATCACCCTGAGCGCCAAGGAGCTGAAGGCCTGGAGCAAAGCGAGGGAGGCATTGCAGAACGACGTTGTCAAGAGCCACATGCAGTCCCTGAGCGTCCTCGCAACGGGCGTGGCGAGGCAGAAGGCGGGCGAGAAGGCTGGGGCAGCGGCGGGCGCGCCAGACCTCAGCTCAGAGGACGCGGCGCAGTCCATTCTCGATCTGCTCAACGGGGGTCTGGTCCATGACGACTACGAAGCGCCTCCGCAATTCCACCCCGCTCTGGAGCCCTTTCTCGGCAACTACAGATTCGCCCTGCAGTTTAGGACCGAGTTCATGGCGACGAAGGACGTGCCCGTTGCCGCGCGCCCGCGGGTCTTGTCCATGATGGCCGCGGTCGCTGCTGAGCTCCCGGGGCTGTCTATGGAGTTCGCGACTGGGGTCAACAACAAGATCCCCATGGGCCCCCTCCTGGAGCTGTTCAGCCGCCAAGTGTGCACTGTCTACGACGACAAGTGGAGCGCCTTCGGCAGCGCCGTCGCTGGCGTCGCGGGCGCGGAGCTGTGGAAGTCGGGCGAGGATGCCATGAGCCCCGAGGACGTGAGCGCGGGCATTTTCGATTCCTGGGCTGAGATCGACGCGTGTTTCAGGTCCCGTGCGCAGCTCCAGCGGATCCTAATCAAGAGGCTAATGTCTGGCGCTGGGTCCTTTTCCGACTGTGACCTGGGCGGGCACGTTGCCGCGCTGGAGCGCAGCATGGGCAACCTCGTGGCCGTCGAGCTGAAGGTCACCCAGAACAAGAGCATCGAGTTCTGGACGTTTATACTCCAGAGCGCCCCCAGCAACATCCAGGCGGTGCTTCTGCAGTCGTTGCAGCGCGGCGGCGACGCCTCGGTCAGCGGCGAGAGCCTCGGCGACAACTCGGGCTCCCTGCCGAGCACGGCGGAGATCGACCAGGACCTGAAATCCTCCACTTCCTCCTCCTCCTCCCCCTCCTCCTCCCCCCTTCCCCTCCTCCTCCTCCTCCTCCTCCTCCTCCTCCTCCTCCTCCATCTCTCCGCCCTCCTCCCCCTCGTCGTCGTTCTCCTCCTCCATTTCCTCCTGGCCCTCCTGGTTCGTCATCCTATTTCCACCTCCCCCTCCTCCTCCACCTCCTCGTCGTCCTCGTCCTCCTCCTCCTTCTCCTCCTCGTCCTCCTCCCCCCTCGCACTGAGCCCCTACCTCTCACCCCTTCCCCTCGCGCCCCTTTCCGCTTTCCCTCCTTCCCGCCCCCAGTCGCTGAGCGCCGGCGGGGCCGAGCCCGCGGCGGCGCTGGCGCCCGCGGCCCAGGCCGCCACAGCGGAGAGGCTTTTGAGCCCTCTGACCAGGGAGAGCCCATGGGTCCTGCCAGCATCGCGTGACCCATGGACCATATAGGCGAAGCGCACCGCGGTCTGGCGTGTACCGGTCGCACCAGGCCTCTTCCGATCACGCATGTTGGAATACGCCAGAATTTCATTCCTACGCTTCTGACATTTGTGCTGGTCATTCGCGGTGCTAAGGCGAAGCGAAGCGAGCCTGTAAGTATTGTAGTCGATATTTTGATATAGGAGGTTAGCAAGACAAATGATTCTCCCCCTCCCGCCCGTCCGTCCGTCCGTCCGGCGGTGGCTCGCGGCGTCCCGCGGTGTCTCGTTGTGTCCCGTGGTGTCCCGTTGATTGAGATCGATAGTGGGATCGATCGTGAGATCGATAGTGAGATGGATACTGAGATCGATACTGAGATCGATGTGGTGCCCCGAGCTGTCCCGCGGTGTCCCAAAAAGTTAGATCGATAGTGAGATCGATAGTGAGATCGATGGTGAGATCGATGTGGTGTCCCGTGGTGTCCCGTGGTGTCCTATGGTATCCCCTTGAATGAGATCGATAGTGAGATCGATAGTGAGACCGATAGTGAGATCGAGAGGTGTCCCGCGGTGTCCCGTGGTGCCCCGTGGTGGCCCGTGGTGTCCCGTGGTGTCCCGTTGAGTGATATCGATAGTGAGATCGATAGTGAGATCGACAAGTGTCCTGTGGTGTCCCGTGGTGTCCCGTGGTGTCCCCTGGTGTCCCCTGGTGTCCCCTGGTGTCCCGTTGAATGAGATCGATAGTGAGATCGATTGAGTCAAATGTTGGTTCCCCCCCTCTCCCCCCCCACAACCTCCTCATCACCCGAGGGGTGGTCGTATAGGTATAAGGCTTGGTTCCGATCCGGCCCGATCCGATCCCAGTGCGCCCTCACCGCGATTCCAGCTCGGGTCCGAGCCCTCTGCTGTTTTCCAGTGTCGATTCCGATTCGATGCGCGGATCCCGATTCTGGTTTCGATCCTTCGTTTCCGATCCTTGTCGATTCTTTGGAGTCCCGACACGGTGCGGTTACAGACCGTGCGGTGACCTCGAAATCCTCCACGACCTCACCGCACCGTCCGTCACCGCGCGGCCTTGGGACCCCGGAGGCCCTTTTCGCCCGAGACGTCCTCGGAGAACGACCCGAGTCACAAAACCGTGCCGTGACCCCGAATCCCCACCGACTCACCGCACGGTGTGGTCACCACCCCGTTTGGGGGCCCCCGAGGTTCGGGTCCTGATCCGGTGTTTCGCGGGAGGGTGGAAGCCCGGCGGAGAGGCCAGGGGAGGCAGGAGGGGAGGGTGCCCGCCTTTGCGCGTCCGCGCACCGCTGCACCGCTGTGGACGCCGCCAGCGTCTAAGGGTAAGTCGGGCGTGTCCCTCGACGGGGGAAATTCAAAAGTAGTCCGACAATGGGCTGGGAACTATTTTTTGAGCATTTTTTTGTTTCCATTTTTTGGGAAAACTCTGTTTCATTTTTCTTCGAAAATACCCCTGTAAGGGGACACGCCCGACCTAAGTCTAAGGACATCATGCCACCTGCGCCCAGGTGGCTGGTGGGACTTTCAGTGTATGGCATCATCCCTGGTGGCGTCACGTTTTTTTTAAGGCGCATTGCCCTCAGCCGTATAGATAGCTTCGTCGCTGATGGCGTCATGTTTTTTTTCTTAAGTTCGCAGTGGCAAAACGGACAGGAGAGAGGAGAGGATAATGAGGAGACGCAGACCCGTGGTCAGAGTCTACTATTTTTCCGATGGCCGCGCCTCTCCTGTCCGCAGCTTGTGCAGTTCCAGTCCGACTTTCCCCATGCTGGTGCATTTTATAAGCGATTGCGGAGCGGAGCTGCCGACTTTTCGGGACGTGGAGTCGCCGCCCCCGTGTGGTCGGAACCATCGGGGCTCTTCTCATTGCCCCCCCCTCCGTGTGGTCTGAGGCCATCGGGGCTCTTTTTGAACAGAGGCCTGCCTGCCTCCGTCTTATCATTACCAGCCTGGAACATATCCCTATCCCTATGCTGGGTACCTCCTCATCACGATGCCAATCTTAGGGATTCCCTTTTTTTTTTGAAAGCGAACCTCTAAGATTGGCATCGCCTTCTGGCGTGCCAATCTTAGAGGCTGGTAATATCAGTGTTTCCCTGCACAGCTTGCTGACATGGGCGCCGTCGCGGCAGGGAGCTACTCCGAGAGCAGCTGCCGCCCGGCCAACTTGGCCTGCAACAACATATCACAGGAGAGAGAGAGAGAGAGAGAGAGGACGGGAGACACGCGCGCACACGCGCGCGCACACACACACACCCGCGCAAACACGCACTCTCTCACCCACACACGCACACACAGAGTACACACAGAGCACACACAGAACACACACACACAAGACACACACAGCCACACACACACAGCCACACACACACGCACACGCACAGGCACCCACACACCACGACAACACCAACACCAACACCCTCACCACCACCACCAACAACAACAAGAACACCACACAACAGCACACAACAATACACAACAACACACCACACTAAACCACACCACACCACATCACAACACATCGCAACACGCCACACCACGACATAACGCGACACAGCACGACACACCTCAGCACAGCACAGCACATCACACCATGACACTACCACAGCACACAACACAACACACCATCACACAACATCCCGCCACACACAGCACACACCGCACACTACAAAACACCATACGACACGGCACACCACAATACCCACTACAGCATACGCATTTTACGTTTCAACACAACAGACCAACGAAGCACAGTGCAGCGCAACACAACACGTCACCACACAGTCCACTGCAACACATCACAGCACAGCGCAACACCACACAACACAACATGACATGCCACACCACACCACACAACGTGTAAACACACCAAACAACACAGCATGCCCCCACACAACACAACTAACCACCACACAGCACAGCACACCACCATGCGACACAACACAACACACCGCACTACAATACAGCACAAGACACAACAGCCCTCAGCCCATCGTAACTCAACACAACACAGCACTCCACAACACGCCACTGCGAACCGCACCACACCACAAGACGCCACCGCACATCACATCACATCACAGCACAACCCAGCACACTAGACCACACCACATCACAGCACAGCACAGCACAGCACAGTACAACACAACTGAACATCACAGACCACACCACACACACACACACTAACCAACACGGGACAGCCCACCACCACACGACTCAACACACTGCCACAAAACACAACACAACACAACACCATACTCGCAATCCAGTACCCAGGCGACAGCACAACTCACCACAGCACAACACACCACAATACAAGGGGGCGTGGGCTGGTTCTGGGCGAGAAATTGTAGGGTCGGGGGCGTCTCGAACAGAGACTGTGTTGGGGGGTGCCGGGGCCAGGATGGGGGCCAGGAGGCGGGCGTGGGCGGGTTTTGGGCGAGAAATTGTAGGGCGGGGGGCCCCAAGAACAGAGACTGTGGGTTGGGGGGCGCCGTGGCCAGGAAGCGAGGCCAAGGGGGGCGTGGGCTGGTTCTGGGCGAGAAATTCTAGGGCGGGGGGCGTCTAGAACAAAGATTGTAGGTCGGGGGGCGCCGTGGCCACGAGAGGGCGTCGGTGGGTTCCAGGCGAGAAACTGCGGGGTGGGGGGTCCCAAGAACAAAGTCTCCGTGGGGTGGGGATGCCGAGGCCAAGAGTCCTGCGAGAGCCCACAAGGCCCCACGAGAATCGAGATGCGAGCCAATGTGTTCGAGTCCCGATGTAGAGGGCAGAAAATCCACCCCCATAATAAGCACCCCGACAAGCGAAGCCGTTTAGTAAACGCGCCCAAGGAAGGAATCGAACAGTGCAGGGCTGTTTAGTAAGCGCCCAGGGCGTTTTCGGTAAACGCCAACTGTCGGGGTCTGGGTAGCTTATCCTCCCTCGACGATGGTCCCAACTACCACCGCGCCCCTACGAAACCCCATATGCATCTTCTGGACGCCGGCGGGGTGGCGCAGGGTGCGAAGCGCACAATGCCGCGGGGCCGAGCGACTGCGGCCGAGCCCACGGCCAGGAGCCCCCACGCGATATGTTCTGCTGCTCGGCGTGGTGCGGTGCGAAGCCCCAGCCTCCCTCAGGAACTCGGTGGGGGGTGGGGCCTCCTCCTCCTCCTCCTCCTCCTCCTCCATCTCCTCCTCCTCTTCCTCCTCCTCCTCCCCCTCCTCCCCCTCCTCCTCCTCCTCCTCCTCCTCCGATGCAGGGTTCGCACGTGGCCGCCCGCTTCCTGCGCGGGCAGAGCGGCGAGGAGGCGGCCTTCTGTTCTCGGCGGCGGGCGCGGCAGGCCTGCCGCCGCCAGGCGTGCTGCGCGGGCTCGGAGGTCACAGGTCGTGCAGCTCCGCACGGGGGTGGGGTGGGGGTGGGGGCCGGGGGGGGGGGGGTCGCAGGCGATTCGTCTCCCCCAGCCCCTGGCTCTGCGACGAAGGATGACACGCCCCAAGGGGGGCTGGGCCGGATGGCTATCCAGGCGCACCCCTGTCGAGGGTGGGCGCCCCCCCATGGTATATCCCAGGGTTGGGCAACAGGTTTCTTACCCGCTCGGAAACCCCACGCAGCCCGGGACAGGGGTCGGCATATCCTCTGTTATTGGGAGTGACGGGCTGCCACTCGTGCACGCCAGGCGGCGCGCAAAGCATCACCCAGCAACCGCCCTCGGGGCCCGAGTTGTGAGTCAGTTGGCATCAATTTCTCTCAATGCGTTCGACGTTTCTCAATTATTCTCATCTCGTTTCCATTCCTCTCGCCTGGCCCTGGCGGCGCGCTCCACTTTCGCCCGCGCGTGCTTGAGTGATGTACACAGCAACTTCACGTCAGTGCACACATGGAGGATGTACTTCCTTGATTGCTTATCTTTCCTCCTCCCTTCTAATCCTGTCTTTCCTGCCTCTACCTCTTCTCTCTCCTATCCCTCAGCCCTTTCCTGCCCTACCTCTGGCTCCTCATCTCCTCTACCTCCTCTTCCTGCCGTCGCCTTCCTGGGGGCGCGATGTCAGCGCCCTCGGGCGCCACCCCCATGTGGAGATCAGGAGATCAATGGCGGGGGTTTGGCCTTCGAGGATGACGGCCTGTGACGGCATGCGCACAGGCATTTCACTCGCGACTGTTCTGGTAGCGGGCGCACGGCCACAGAAGCGTCTTAGAAACCGTTTCCGAAACATTCGTTCTTGAGAACGGAAGCAGTAAAGAAACGACAGCCAGGAACGGCGCGGACATCGGTTCTGGAACTGGAAGCGGAGCTGGAGCCGGCACCGAGAACGGCGATGGAGCCAGAGGAGCAAAACGGCGTGGTTCCCAGGGCCCACTAGGTTGGCGCGGCGCGTCTGCCGTCGCGGGCGTGGGCGTGGGCTGCGAGGTCGAAGGCACGGGGCGGGGCCTTCGAGGGCGGCGGCCCGTGAGGGTGCGTGCACGGGCGGCTCGCGAACGCGACTCGCTGGTCGCCGATCGTGAGCTGCGGCAGGCGGTGCAGGGTGCGCGGTGTGTCGCGCATCTTGCCGCTCGGTCTTGGAGCAGCTCCAGCTTGGCAGGCCGCCGCTGAGCAGCAGCACGTGCCGCGTGCTGGATGCGGGGGAGGCTCGAAGTCTCCTCTCCTGCCCCCGTGCTGATCTTCCGCGATGGCGCTGTCGGCAACCCACCGCGTGCCCGAGCCCGGCGTTTCAACGAGCCACGTCTGGCCCCTCCTCCCTCCACTCGTCCTTCTCGTATCCCGCCAGCAGCGCTTCTTAACTGAGAAGGAAGTTGCGTCTCTGAGGCCACTCGGGCGCTACTGTTTGTGAAGCCCCGCAGCTGGCAGCTCGGACACCACCCCAGAGTCGTGCTTGCTTGCTCCTCCCCCTCCTCCCCCTCCTCCTCCTCCTCCTCCTCCTCCTCCTCCTCCCTCCTCCTCCTCCCTCCTCCCTCCTCCCTCATCCCTCATCCCTCATCCCTCCTCCCTCCCGCGCGAGGATGGCTGGGGCGGATTCGTTCGCTGGCTTGGCCGTTGGGCCGCGTGTGTCCGGCTTCGCGCAGGCGTGCTGCCGCAGGCCGCGGGCAAGGAGAGAGCGGCAAGAAAAGAGAGCGCGCGCGCCGACAGGCTCGTCTCCCAGGCGGCAAGCCGAGGGGTGATGCTCTCGTGCGCCAGGTCTGGGCCTGCAGCCCAGGGAATGACGAGGGACGAGGGGAGGATGAGGCGGAGACTCTGGCGAGGAACATGCAAGGAAGGATGATGAGGAGGATAGAAGAAAACGGCGATATTGAGGATTAAAAGGATGATGCTATGATGCTGATGATGAGGATGATGATGATGTGATGATGATGACGGTGGTGGTGATGAATATCAAAGCGAAGAGGCGCATGCGAATGATGATGCTGGTGATACTGAGGAGGATGATTCTGGTGATGGTGATGATGCAGATGCTGATGAGGCTGACAATGAGGCTGATGCTGATGCTGATGACGATGCTGGTGAGTATGATGCTGATGCTGATGATGAAGGTGAGGACGAAGAGGTGCGTGCGGATGCTGATGATGATGATGCTGATGGTGACGACGATGATGATGCTGATGAATGTGATGATGAGTCTGACAATGTGGCTGCTGCTTCTGCTGACGATGATGATGATGATGATGCTGATGGTGATGATGATGTAACATGGGGTGATGATGGTGACGATGGTGAGAGTGACGACGATGATGATTTTGGCGATGAGTCTGAGTTTGATTATGTTTCTGATTCTGATTCGGCTTGTGCGGATGATTATGGCGACGACGGCGGTAACGACGACGATGCCGGCGAGGTTGATGATACTGATGTTGTTGATAACTCTGGTGATGATGATGGTGATGCTGCTGCTGATGCTGATGATGGTGATGATGCCGATGCGAATGCTGATGCTGTTGATGATGGTGTTTGGTGAACATGATGATGCGGCTGCTGATGAGAATGCGAATGATGCTGCTCCTGATGATGGCGGCTGCGAAGATGATGATTCGGATGATGACGATGCTGATGATGATGGTGCCGACGATTATTATGATGCTGATGATGCTGATGCTGATGACGACGGTGATGCTGATGGTGATGATGATGACGATGTTGCTGATACTTGTGATGCTGATGACTTTGTCGACGACAATGGCTATGAGGACGCCGGCGATGTTGTTGTTGATGATGATGGTGACGATAATCCTGATGATGCTGGTGATGATGCTGCTGCATTTGATGGTAACGACGATGATGATGCTGATGATGATGCTGATGAGGACGCGGCGGTTTATGATGACTCTTGGTGATGATGATGCTGGTGATGCTTATTGTGATGATGATGCTGATGATGCTGGTGATGATGATGCTGATGATGATGGGGCGGTGGTGGTGGTGGTGCTTGTGTCGATAATCATGGTGATGATGGTGCTGGTGCTCGTGATGGGTGATGCTGATGTTGATGATGATAAAAACCAGGATGATGATGTTGATGATGATGATGACCAGGATGGTGGTGGTGGTGGTGATGACGATGGCGATACTGATACTGATGGTGATGATGATGGATGCTGATGATGATGCTGATGATGCTGATACCGTTGATGATGAGGAGGAGGAATATGAGGAGAAGGAGGAGGAGGAAGAGGAGGAAGACGAGGAGGAATATACTGATGATGATGATGATGATAACGATGATGACGACGACGATAACGACTATGATGAAGATCGTGATGACGAGGATGATGATGATGGTGATGCTGATGGTGCTGATCATGATGGTGATGATGATGGTGATGATGATGATGATGGTGCTGATGCTCATGAGGATGATGATGTTGATGATGATGATGCCGATGATGATGCTGCTGACGATGATGATGTTGCTGATGGTGATGCTGATGATGATGATTATGATGATGAGGATGATGATGATGCTGCTGATGATGATGCTGATGATGATGATGTTGATGATGCTGATGATGATGATGATGGTGATGATGATGATGGTGGTGATGATTACGATGATGATGATGGTTATGATGATGAGGATGCTGATGACCATGATGATGACGATGGTGATGATGATGATGATGATGATGCTGATTATGATTCTGATGATGATGCGGATGCTGATGCCGATGATGATGACGATGATGACGATGCTGATGATGATGATGATGATGATGATGAAGATGATGATGTTGATGATGATGATGGTGGTGGTGATGAGGATGATGCTGCTGATGATGGTGATGATGATGATGATGATGGTGGTGGTGGTGATGGCGATGATGCGGATGTTGATGATGATGATAAATATGATGATGATGGTGATGATGATGATGATCTTGATGATGATGGTGGGGGTGATGATGATGACGATGATGACGATGATGATGATGATGAGGAGGAGGAGGATGATGATGATGGTGATGATGATTATGATGATGATGATGATGATGATGATGATGATGATGATGATGATGATGATGATGATGGTGGTGGTGGTGATGGTGGTGGTGATGATATTCGCGGCGTTGGTTGTGGTGGTGCTGGTCATGAGGACGAGCGTGTCCCCGCCTGCTACGTGCCTGCGAAGAGCGCAGCCGTAGCTTCCTGTCACAAGCGAGTGAGGCTATCGAGCGAGCCTTCCAAAGACCCATGGGCGACACTGCCTCGACAAGCTCGCCAGCGAGGGCACACCCAGCTCGACCCGAGCCCTGGGCCCCATCCTCGCGCGGGCGCGCGTCTCCCCGCTGCGGCGCCCCGCCGGGGAGGGCGCGGTGCCCGCCGCGGAGGCCCTGCCGCTGGAGCGAAGGCCCGCGGAAGCCCCTGGCGGCCCGAGGAGGCCCTGCCGCGGAGGCTCCGCCCGCGACGGGGCGCCGCCACGGCAGGCGCGGGCCATCCGTCCGTCCGAGCCGGCCGCGGCCGGCTCGAGCCTGGAGGGCCGACGTGGCGCCGGCGGCAGCGCTGGCGGCCCGCTGCCAGGCAGCTGCGGTGTGGCCGCGGCGGTGTCGCACTGCAGGCGCCGCGGCCAGGTCCAGAGGGGCCCTGGCGCGTGGCAGGACTCATGTCCCCCTCCCCTCCACGCCGCTCCCCTCCACATCCCCTCCTCCTCCTCCTCCTCCTCCTCCTCCTCCTTCCTCCTCCTTCCCTCTCCCTTCCCTCCCCTCCCCTCCCCCCCTCGCTTCCCTTCCCCTGCCCTCCCTCCCCCCCCCTCCCCTCCCCTCCCCTCCTCCTCCTCCTCCTTCTCCTCCTCCCTCCTCCTCCCCTCCTCCTCCCCGTCCCCTCCACTCCCTTCTCCTCCCCTCCCTTCCCCTCCCTCCCTCCCTCCCTCCCTCCCCCCTCCCGCTGCGAGCCGCAGCCCGCGCCCGCGCGAGCGCCCGCGGCCATCAGCGGCGCCTGCCCGCCGCCGACTTCCCATGGAGTCGGTGGAGCGGCTGCTGGGCGAGGCGGCGCGCCCCAGGGCCGTTGGAGGAGGAGGGGGAAATGGAGGAGGAAAACGAAGAGGCGGAAGAGGAGGAGGAGGCGGAAGAGGAGGAGGAGGAGGGAGGAGGAGGAGGAGGAGGAGGAGGCGGAGGAGGAGGAGGAGGAGGAGGAGGAGCGAGAGGAGGAGGAGGAGGAGGAGGAGGAGGAGGAGTAGGGAGGAGGAGGAAGAGGGAGATGAGGAGGGGGAGGAGGAGGAGGAGGAGGAGGAGGGAGGAGGGGGGGGGAGGGGGGAGGGGGAGGGGGAGGGGGAATAGGACCAGTGTAAAACCAAGGCTCATCAACGATGTTGGATTTAACCCTCCCTCCAAGCTTCCTCTTCATAGGCCCCACAACGGTTCATTTCCATTGATGGAACTGCCTCGTTGGAAGACAACCGTTTGAAGGTCCTGAAGCATGCCAGAACATTGGTCTCGGGAATTTAACGCCACGTATCAACTTGTCTGCTCCGTCTTGACGACCTGGAGTCCTGCCAGAGCGCCATTTTTGGGATTTCAACACCGCGAATCAACATAACATTTGCACCCGCATGATCCAGAATCCCTCCAAAACGAAATTTCTGGTACGTTGATCATGGGAAGCCGTGGAACTTCTGCAAATTTTGAAAGCGGATGTGCGCGGCGCTAAGGCGAGAACCACATTTGAAAAAGGGACCGCCCTCCATCCGTGAAGCTGTTGCCAGTTTTTGGAAACGAAAGTACGCGGCGCTAAGGCGAGAGCTACTCGGCCGGATGGCGAAGGGGGAATCAGGACATGGGGGGATGAGTATCTGGTACCGTTTTGTTGGCGTACAAGTTGTACCTTCTCTGCGGGTTGCAAGTGCAAATTGTACCTTCTCCCCCCCGTTAACATCCATGCACATGTCGCGGACGTTGTCAAAAGTACAATGTGTACCTTGTCTGCGTGGCGTCGGTACAAATTGTACCTTCTCCATGGGGCGTAGGTACAATTTGTACCTCGGTTGCGCCTCTCTCCCCATCTGGACTTATCCCCCCATTTGCATCTCGCCAAGCTACGTTTAGACAAGACCCGCCCTCCAACTGTGAAGCTCTCACAAATTTTGAAAACGAATGTGCGTGGTGCCAAGGCGAGAGCCACATTTTGAAAACCACCTGCCGTCAACCAGTGAAACCCCTGCAAATTCAACGACCCGCCCTCAATCCGTGAAGCTCTTGCAAGTTTTGATAACGAACGTGGACTGCGTTGGGGCGAGAGCCGCATTTTGAAAACCACCCGCCCTCAATCCATGAAGTTCCTGCAGTTTTTTGAAACGAATGTGCGCGGCGCTAAAGCGAGAACCACATTTTGAAAACCAGCCGCCCCCAATCAGTGAAACTCCTGCAAATGTTTTAAAAATGTGCGCGGCGCTCAGGCGAGAGCCAACTTTTGAACAGGAACCGCTCTCAATCTGTGAAACTCTTTGCAAATGTTGAAAGCGAATGTGAGCGGCGCTAAGGCGAAAGCCACATTTTGAAAACGACCCGCCCTCAATCCGTGAATCTTTTGCAAATTTTGGACACGAATGTGCGCGGCGCGTAGGCGAGAGCCACATTTTGAAAACCACCCGCCCTCAATCCGTGAAGCTCATGCAGATGTTTTACAAGAGTGTGCGCGGCGCTGGGGCGAGAGCCACATTCTACCACCCGCCCTCAATCCGTGAAACTCCTGCAAATGTGTAAAACGAATGTGCGCGGCGCTAAATCGAGAGAAACATTTTGAAAACTTATAGTTCACTTCGAAATGACTTCTCCCTGTCGCACCCCGAGGCCAGTTTTTAGGGCGGGCCCGGCGTTTCGCCTGAGATTTCCTCACCGTTTAGGATTCCGGAGTTTAAAGCGTGACGACAGTTTCGCAGATGGAGGGCGGGTCGTTTTCAAATGTGGCTCTCGCGTTAGCGACGCGCGCGTTCGATTTCAAACATGGCAAGAGTTTCGCGGATTGAGGGCGGGCCGTTTTCAAGATGTGGCTCTCTCTTTAGCGCCACGCACATTCGTTTTCAAACTTACAAGAGTTTCACACATTGAGGGCGGTTCTTCTTCAACATGTGTCTCTCGCCTTAGCGCCGCCCATATTCGTTTTTGAAAAGATTGCAGGAGCGTCACGGATTGAGCGCAGCTCCGTATCATAATGTGGCTCTCGCCTCAGCGCCGCGCACATTCCTTTTCAAGATTTGCAAGAGATTCACGGGTCCCCATGATCAGCGTACCAGAAATGGTGTCTTGGATGGATTCAGGATTATGCGGGTGCAACAGTTATATTGGTTCGCGGTGCTGAAATCCCCAACTTGGGGTTCTGGCACGATTCCGGATCGTCAAGACGCAGCACTTTGGTTGATATGTGGCGTTGAAAATCCCGAGGACCATATTTTTGGCGTGCTTCAGGACCTTCCAACGGTTGTGTTACAAAGAGGCAGTTCCATCAATGGAAATGAACCGTTGTGGGGGCTGATTTAGAGGGAAGTTGGAGGGAGGGTTATTTCCAACATCGTTGATGACTTGGGTTTGCACTCGTCATCCTCCTCCTCCTCCTCCTCGTGCTCCTCTTCCTCCTCCTCCTCCTCCTCCTGCTCCTCCTCCATTCCTGTTCCTTACGATCGCTCCCCCCCCCGTGTCGCACCGCCAGACGTGTCCGCAGGCCAGGCCGAGCGTTTCGCCTGAGACTTTCTCGCCTCCTCTGATCCTCAAGCCGGATCTCTGCAACAGGTCGGCCACGCGCAAAGCGGGGGGTAGGGTGAGGGGGGAAGGCTTCTTAGAAGGAGGCTGCTTGTCAGAAGGCGCGGTCCTTCTTATACGTGTAGGGCCCGCGCCTTCTAAGAAACCGCCTTCTTCTAAGACACTTTCCCCCCTCCCCCTACCCCCCTCTGCGCGCCGCCAAATCGGTTCAAGTATGTAGCCCAGATGGTTTTTAGGATGTGACTCTCGCCTTAGCACCGCGCACATTTGTATTAAGCGCTTGCGACAGTTTCTAAAAGGATGGAGCTGGGTTGGTTTTCAAAGTGTGGCTCTCGCCGTAGCGCCGCGCACATTCGTCTTAAGCACTCGCAACGGCAACTGTTTCAAGGATTGGGCCCAGGTGGTTTCAAAACGTGGCTTTCGCCTTGGCGCCACGCACATTTGTCTTAAACATTTAAGACGCTTGGAACAGTTTCAAGGATGGAGGCCAGTTCTTTTAGCTTGGAACAGTTCGAATTCAACAGAACCGTGCTTCCGCAGCTTCCCCTCCAACTGCGTGGTCTTTCATCACTTCTGCAGCCTGCTGGTAAGAGAGCGTTGCGGAGCGCTGCGCAATGCTGTGTTTCCAGCGGGCCTCACTTAAATGTCGTTTTGCCACGGTCAAGCAGCCCCGCTTTGCGTTGGGGGGATCCGCGTTTGGCCTAGTCGTCCTCGCTTACGGCCGGCTTTTCGTCGGAGCGGGCCCTGGCTGCGTTAAGACATCGGCATTTGGCCTTTCCCGCCGCCATGCCATGGTCGCGGACCAGGGCCTTGTTGGAGGCCTGTCGGTTTTTTTTGGGGAGCCTCTCGGGGCTATTCTTTGGGGCTTATTGGGGGCGTCGGATGCCTCTCGGACCCTTTTCACGAGCATTTGCAACACGCGGTGTTGAGGACTGGACGCTCCGCTCAGTGCCTGCGAAAAAAAGGTGCAGGTTTAGGGAAGGCCAGCGGTCATGTGCGGGAGTTTTTCGAAACGCGAGTAGCTAGAATTGAGCAGCATGCGGTTCCTCCTCCTCCTCCTCGTTCTTCCCTCCCTCCCTTCCCTCCCTCCCTCCCAATCGAGATGCTCGGTGCAATCGCCGAGCACGATGGCTGCTTGGCCTCGACGGCGCGTTTGCCACGTGTACTGGAGACACGCGGCAGATCGGCAGACGAGCACGCAGCGCACTCGGATTGTTCAACCGTCGGTCGTATTCGATGTTGAAGCCCCCTTTCTTTGCACATCTCAACGCGCGCTGGCTCTACGAGCTTGCCGGCGATGTGTCTTGATTGCTTGTCGTGTTCGTTCGGCAGTGTGCCAATCGCTTCGTTCATGAAGAGGGAGCCAGCTTGCTGGTGACCAGAACGCATCTGGTATTCTCGCGCTGAGTGTTTCTGGTGAGACTTGCAGGTCATCGACCCACCTGCACCCATTCGTGCTGTTGCACATGACAGTCCGCGGGACAGAAGCGCACTCTCCAGAGGGGTGCGGAGTGGGGGGGAGGAGGGGGATCGGAAACACTGATGATGCTGATGATGCTGATGCTGATACTGCTGATGATGATGCTGATGCTGATGCTGTTGCTGATGATGATGCTGCTTTGCTGATGGAAACGAGGACGAGGAGGAGGATGCTGATGATGATGGCGATGCTGATGTTGATGATGCTGATGATGATGCTGATGGTGATGCTGCTGATGCTGATACTGATGATGATACTGACGATTATGATGATGATGATGACCCTGGTGCTGATGACGATGATGCTGATGATGCTGATGATGATGCTGCTGATGATGATGCTTATGATGATGATACTGATGATTCTGATGATGATGACCCTGGTGCTGATGACCATGTTGATGCTGATGATGATGATGATGATGATGATGATGATGATGATGATGATGATGATGATGAGGAAGAGGCGGATGAGGATGAAGTTGCTGATGATGCTTATGATGCTGATGATGATGATGATGATGATGAGGATGATGATGCTGATACTGAGTATGCTGATGATGATGCTGATGATGGTAATGATGACGATACTGCGGATGATGATTGTGATGCTGTTGTTGTTGATGCTGCTGCTGATGATGATGATGTTGATTATGCTGATGATGCCGATATTTCTCATGGTGAGGATGATAGTGTTGCTGATGATGCGGATGCTGACGCTCATGAGGATGACGCTGATGATGATGCTGATGATGATGATGACGAGGATTCTGCTGATGACGATGATGCTGATGATTATGATGATGATGCTGCTGATGCTGATGATGATGATGTTGATGCGTCTGCTGCTGCTGCTGATGATGGCGACCATGAGCTGCTGCTCATGCTGATGCTTGTGCCGATATACTGATGATGCTGACAATGCTGCTGATGATGCTGGTGATACTGACGCTGATGCTTATGCTGATGCTGATGATGCTGCTGATGATTTGATGTTGCTGATGATGATGCTGACGATGATGCTGACGATGATGATGATGATGCTGATGATGCTGATGATGATGATGATGATGATGATGATGCTGATGATGATGATGATGATGATGATGATGATGATGCTGATGTTGATAATGCTGATGATGAGAATGATGAGGACGATGCTGTTGATGATGATGAAATCATGATGTTGATGATGATGCTGATGATGATGATCATGATGATGCGATGGTGATGCTTATGAGGCTAATGATCATGATGCTGATGATGCTGCTGCTGCTGATGATGATGATGATGATGATGATGATGATGATGATGATGATGATGATGATTATGCTGATACTTATGTTTTGGTTGATGATGCTGATGACGATGCTGATGATCATGATGATGAGGCCATGTGAGATTGTTGGATTCTTCTGGCGTGCTCCTTGGAGAAGGAAGAGGGGCAGGCTGACGATCAGGAGGAGGAGGAGGTGGAGGAGGATGACGTGGAGGGAGGAACAGAAGGAAGCGGATCGAATTGGGAGAAGAACGTTGATGGAGCATGAGGATGTATGATGATGACGAGGGTGAGGAGGGCGAGGAGGATGAGGATGAGGAGGGGGAGGCAACGACATGTTGCGCACGCCTTGTCACCCCGCGCAGGCGGGGTCGGAGTTTCTTTTGTCAACCGCGATCTTTCTCCTTCATTTCGCCCTCCCGGGAGGTGTCGCGGAGGCCGGGATCGCTGCGGACTATAACGTCATCGTGGTCGCCGCCGCTGCCGCCGCCGCCTCCGTCGCCGCCGCCGCCGCCGACGCCGCCGCCGCCGTCGCCGTCGCCGTTGCCGTCTCCGTCGCCGTCGCCGTCGACGTCGACGTTCTCTTCGTCCTCATCGCTGACGTCGTCGAGGAGGGAGGGCCCAGCGTGCCTCCTGGGGCGAGGCGGTGACCATGGCCGCCAGCGCGGTCACGGCAGCCTGCCGGCCAGAGGCAGGGCCTGGCGCCGTGCCCCCGATGCGCCTTTTTGAGGCGGCGCTGTTGGGGAGGGAGGAGGGGAGGATGGATGAGGAGGCGGAGGAGGAGGGGGAGGAGGAGGAGGAGGAGGAGGAGGAGGAGGAGGTGGGTGGTGGAAGAGACGAGGAGGAGGAGGAGGAGGAGGGTGGAGGAGGAGGATGGAGGAGGCGGAGGAGGATACGAGGAGGGGGAGAGTGGTGGTGGAGGAGGAGGAGGTGGGTGGAGCAGGAGGATGAGGAGGAGGAGTTGTTGATGATGATGCTGATGATGATGGTGATGATGGTGATGATGATGCTGCTGATGATGATGATGCTGATGGTGAAGCTGATGGTGCTGATGTTGATGATACGGATGCTGATGAGATTGGCGATGATTATGTGATGATGCTCATGATGCTGGTGATGATGCTGATGAGGACTTTGATGGTGCTGATGCTGATTCTGCTGATGATGCTGGTGCTGATGCTGATGCTGCTGCTGATGATGATGATGATGATGCGTCTGCTGCTGATGATGATAGCGACGATGAGCTGCTGTTGATGATGATGCTGACTCTGATGATACTAGTGATGCTGATGCTGATGATGACACTGAATATGATGATGCTGATACTGATGATGCTGATGATGATGACGATGATACTGACGCGGTTGTTGATTCTGATCATGATGATGCGGATGCTGCTGCTGATGATGATGATGATGATGCTGATGGTGATGGTGATGCTGATGATGATGCTGATGTTGATGATGCTGATTCTGATGCTGATTATGATGATGCTGATGATGATTGTGGTGGTGATGGTGGTGGAGATGGAGATGATGCTGCTGATGATGATGATGATTATGCTATGATGGTGATGATGCTGCTGATGACGATGCTGCTGCTGCTTCTGATGCTGTTTATGATTATTATTATGTTGATGATGCTGATGATGATGGTGAGGATTATGACCATGATGATGATGCTGATGATGATGCTGATGATGATGATGATGGTGATGATGATATGATGATAGTGCTGACGATGCTGATGATGCTGATGCTGATGCTGATGATGATGATGGTGATGATGATTATGCTACGAATGATGCTGGTGCTGATGCTGATGCTGATGATGATGATAATGATGATGATACTGATGATGATGCTGATGCTGATGCTGCTGATGATGATGATGATGCTGATGCTGATGCTGATGCTGATGCTGATGATGACAAGGATGATGATGAGTATGATGATGATGATGATGATGATGATGATGATGATGATGATGATGATGATGATGATGATGATGATGATCTGATGCTGACTGATGATGATGATGCTGTGATGTTGATGCGATGCTGATGCTGATGCTGCTGCTGATGATGAGATATATAATGATGATGATGATGATGTTGTGATGATGATGATGAGATGATGATATTGATGATGATGATGATGCTGATAATGATGATGATGTGATGATGATGATGATGATTGATGATGAGATGATGATGATGATGATGATGATGATGCTGAGATGATGATGATTTAGATGATGATGTGCTGATGATGCTTATTGATGATGATGATGATTGATGATGATGATGATGGATGATGATGATGATGATTGATGATGATGTGATGAGATGATGATGATGATGATGATGATGATGATGATGATGATGCAGATGATGTGATGATGATGATGCTGATGATGTGATGATATGACTGATGATGTTGATCTGAGGGAGTTTCTGTGGAAGTCACGCCATCCCAACCCCTGTCGCGGGAGGAAGCCAGGCCCCACCGCTCCCCCAGGGAGACCGCTTCCGGGGAGCGCGCCGGGCGCGCTGGGCGTGCCCCAGTCCGGGGCCCTCGCTCGAGACATCCCCGTAGAGTCGATCCCCCGCCGCGCCAAGGAGTCCAGTGGTGTGTTGATCATCGGCTGTCCGCGTCCCTCTCCCGCCCCCTCTTCCTCCTCTCCAAAAGATGCACTGGACAAGCATTGCTTGTCCA